CAAACCCACGACGACATAGTTAGAGCGATATATTTTATAATTGAGTAAAATCAGGTTGATGTTATAATATTATAAATTGAATTAGAGAATTATTTAAAAAGATAGTCTTTATTTTATGTTAATTCATAGTAGTTTGACATTTAGAATTTGAATAACATACCAAAAGAGGTAGAAATTCAAATTGGTTTAAAGCAACAAGTTTGCATACATTTCCGGAATGGGTTTGAAGAAGCCAAGCCACTTAGTTTTCCCATGGGTAACATCCTGCACATCCCCCGCCGCCCTGTTTCACCATTTAATCAAACCAAATAAGCATAACCTTATACACAAGTGTTCATGTCATTTTGAGTTCACATTCAAACACTGAACACGCTCCATTACCTGCAGCTTGAACGACACTCCAACTTCAATTTCTCCCTTGAAGTGGATTTTGTGTGCTAAGACATGGTACATTCTAGGCCGTATCTCCGACCATCCTTTTCGAACTCCTTCAGCTAATAAATCCTTGACATCTATTCTGCAATCATCATTTAATTCTATGGTTTGTAAACCTTGAATGTGGTGGTGATAGTAATAGTAGTAATAGTAGTAGTTATGTAAGAGAACATCAATGGTCTTACTTGACATCGCCAATGTAATCATCACCATCTATAACGTCATGGTCCATGACCTTGAATAAGATATGGAAGTCACCGCCGCTCCCAGGGTACTCTGCTAGGAATTTAAATTTCTCATCCCATAATGGATCTGGTCCTGCATCTGCGCCATTTAAAACCACACGAATAAGAATGATATTAATTTATAAAATTTTAGAGTTCGGAAAGAAAAAAGAAGAGACTAACTTTTAGCAACTTTGCTCATGCGTTCTTGGCCCTTGTAGTTGATCTCAACATAAGGGTCAATTGGTTCTGCGAAATGGGGAGAAAATGGAATAGGTTAATAAGTGAGTAAGAGCATGGGCAGAGCATGAAAGCAAGTAGGAACCGCAGATTGGAGCTTACTATTAAGCGGATCATGGGCTTGAAGTCCTTTACCACTAATCAAATGGACCTCCAACATACCCATCGCCATCGCTTTGCCTCTGTCTGTCAACCTTGAAGATGAAGTTGAAGGAATACAATGGTGCAGTGGCTTTTATATATATATATATTTAAAAGGATAATACCAGATCAAATTTAATAAAGTATATATAATATTCGATTCTGTCGTAAAATACAAAACAAAAAATATCACTTTAATTCTTATTCTTTTTTAGTATTATCCTAAGCATGTGTATTAATTTTAAATTATTAAAGGTATGTTTTAGTTCTAATATCATTTTTTTTTAAATCATAAATATTTTCAATTTATGCCTATAACTTAGTAGATGATTGTACGTCAATTATTATTAATAAATTAGGATCACTTTAATCTTTTTTAATTAATTTTAAATATTTTTTAATTAATTTTAAATATTTTTTAATTAATTTTAAGTTTTTATATTTATATATATTTTGATTTTATTTTTATATGTATATTTTTGTTTTAGAATCTGGTTCTTCCAATCACAAAGTATCAACCATCATTTATAAAAGATGATTGACCGAGAATTTACGACTGAAAATTACTTGTGACAAAAAAACTTGACCTATTGATAATGTTATATAATAAATAAATAAAAAAAAATCATTTAAAAAAAAGTCATAAAATTAAAAGAATATATGCAGTCAAATATAAAATTTAAATATCCATACCAATCAAAGTAACTAGCATGAGATACGATAAATAATGAATTAATTTCATTTTGATTTTTTTGTAAAAAGGAACAGTTTTATTGAGGCCAATTAGAAAAAGATTACAAGATATTTAGAAAAAATAATAGTTTTTTTGAACGGGGATAGAAGATTTTTTACCATGTGCACCACCTTGTGATCTTAATTTATTTATAAAATATGTAGACAATACGTTCATATAATTATTGGACTTGACCGTACTAGATTATGGATGATTTTTTAACAATAATGTCACCACCCACCCTCATTCTTTGTACTTGTGATCGGATATTCAAAAGCTATATAGTCATATGTTCCCATTACCCTAGTAGAAACATAGCTTGTTAGAAATTACGACCTCCACAATGATATGATATTGTCCACTTTGACCATAAGTTTTTATGTTTTTGCTCTTGGTTTCCTCAAAAGACCCCATACCAATGAAGACGTATTTCTTATTTATAAACTCATGATCATTCCCTTGTTGAGCTCTTGGAGATGTATTCCTTACCTATAAACCCATGATCAAACTCATGATCATTCCCTTATTGAGCTCTGGGAGATGTATTCCTTACCTATAAACCCACAATCAAATTCATGATCATTCCTTTGAGCTTTTGAGATGTATTCCTTACCTATAAACTCATAATCATTTTCGCTCAGATTTCATGCAATTCCTAATTATAAACACATGACATTACCTTATTAAACTCTTGTTCTCCATGTAATTCCGTAATTTTAGGCACAACAAACAACCATTTTACTATTTAGATATTAAAAGCCAACCAAATTTATAAACCCAACTGGATTTATAAACCCAACTCATAATCATTCTTTTATTGGTAACTTTAGGCAGAACGAACAAAGAACCAATTTTACTATTTTAGATATTAAAAGCCAACCAGATTAATATTGAAAAACAAAACAACAAAACGCCGTCTGTGGGGATCGAACCCACGACCACGTGGTTAAAAGCCACGCAGATTAATATTGAAAAACAAAACAACAAAACGCCGTCTGTGGGGATCGAACCCACGACCACGTGGTTAAAAGCCACGCGCTCTACCACTGAGCTAAGACGGCCTTGACGTTATAACATATACTGAAACCATATAAAACATATATCTATGGTTGAGGGATATTTTTGACCCAACCCTCTATTTTCACTTTCACGTTATGTTGTTAAAAAGAAAAAATTAGTTTTAAAAAAAAAAGAATTATTTACCCATCATTTATAATTATTTATATATAATGTACATAAATTATATTAAAAATTGAGAAATAAACACAAATCAATCAATAATTATTAAAAAAAATAATAATAATGAAGAACAACAAACAAAAATTGTAACATGTTAACATAGTACAATATTGTCATAAAACTAAAAACAACTAAATACCGATACTCTTTGGAAACCAGTTAAAGTAAGAAAAATATAAAAATAGATCACAAAATTAAAAATATAATAAAAATGATTAATTTAAAAATACTGTATATAACAAAAATAAAAAAATTAAGTTAGAGAGCCCTCTGCTATTAAAAAATATATATATAATATAATATAATATAATAATGTTACAATAAATAGATAATAAATACATTAAAATTTAGAATGATCCAATAAATTTATTTAAACTAATTTTCAGTAATAATAAAAAAAATTCTCACCAATAAATACTATAATAATTGAAATATTTTGGGCAACATCGATCAAAGTCTATTTAAATTTATTTACGCGGTCCAATAAAAAAAATGATAAGATGGAGAGTAAAAAAAAATTCTTTTATCGCAACACAAGTACAGAAATTTCTATTTAAAAAATTCATTTTATAATTCGTAAGATAAAAGACAAGTTGCTTTAAAATTATTCAAATATATATATATAATAACATTAAATATTATACGCATTTGTTTCCAAATAACCAAAATAACTTGAATGTATGTATAAATTATAATTAATAAACCTGTTCTAAACTATATTGAAGGATTGTTTATTAATTTATTATTTATATCCTAAACATATACCTCATAACTAATGAATCCGTTGTAACTATATTCTTAAATTATAAATTAAAGAATTGTTTATTAATTTATTATTTATTTCAGAGTATAAAAGTATGAATAGTTATATATTAGTTTATTTATAATATGTTTTAAAATAGTATGAAATATTGAAATATTTTTAATATCTATATAAAAATTAAACAAAATAAAAAATAATAATGTATTTGATTGCCGTTAAACCTGTGCATTAGTCTTTAATTAGACCGAACCACCATTCTAATAAATACATTATTATGATTAATTTATTAATATATTTTATATATTTTTATTTGGCTTGGACCAAATCGAAAGTTTTGTTCCATGAACACGAATCGAACTGATTCAGTTTGAGTTTCAAAAAATGAACCCAATTCAATTCGAAATGTTAACCCAACCCAACCTTTATAGTTCGGTTGGGTTGATCTGGATTATCGGTTGAATGTACACCTCTATTATTAAAGACGAGGGAAGTATTAGCTTAAATTATAAAGTTTTCTTATCATTTGAATATGTTGTTTTGGAAACAATAAATTATGGTTATTACATTAATATTTAATTAAATGAATTTAAGAAAGACATAAATAGGAGCGAGTAGAGACTAAAAACTGTTTTTCACAGACTCAAATACAAAGAGAATTTGAATTCCTTCGTTTTTATTTATTTATTTATTTATTAAATGTAGAGAATTTTTTTTTTTTTTTTTTTATTGGTCACTCAAATACAATAGTATAAGTTAATAGATAGACTTATTAAAAACAATTATATAAAAATATTTAAATGGTCCATTACAAAAAATAATATGTTTAAAATTTTGTTGCGATATTTATGAATATAGATGATAAATAAAAAGGTTAATTTGTAATGCTGTTAATAGGGATCAAACCGTCACGTGATCAATCACTAAATGAAAATAAATAGATTTCAATTGTCATGACAAGAGTAATTAGAATTTTGGTCACTAAAAGATCATGAAAGTTGTATTCAAATAAATAAAAAATGTAATTGAAACCACGTGGATGAAAGTTGTACACATAAAATAACATTTAGCCGAATTATAATAAATATTATTTTACATATAAAAGAATTATTACTCATAATGTTGTATATGAGATTTATGAACCCATGACCACATGGTTAGAGCGATATAGTTTGTAACTAAATCGTGTGTTGTCGAGCCAGACAGGTTGGTAAGATTAATTAGAGAATTATTAAAAACATAGTTTTTTATTTTATTCATGTTAATTCATAGTTTAGAATTTGAATAACATACCAAAAGAGGTAGAAATTCAAATTAGTAACAAGTTTGCATACGTTTGGGGAAAGGGTTTGAAGAAGGCAAGCCACGTAGTCTTCGCTTTGCTCCATCCTCCCACTTATTCTTCCTTAATTACCCCTATTTCACCATTAAATCAAACCAAATAAGCTTAACTTTACACACGCTCACATTCAAACACTAAACATGCTCCATTACCTGCCGCTGGAAGGACACTCCAACTTCAATTTCTCCCTTGAAGTAAAGATTGAGTAATAAAACCTGGTACATTCTAGGCGGTATCTTCGACCATCCTTTTCTAACTCCTTCCGCTAATAAATCCTTGATATCTATTCTACAACAGTCATTTAGTTCCATCTTTCGTAAACTTTGAATGTGGTGGTGATAGTAATAATAGTAGTAGTTATGTTTGAGAAAATCACAATGGTCTTACTTGACTTCGCCAATCAAATCATCATCATCTATAGCGTCATGGTCCATGACCTTGAAGAAGATATGGAAGTCACCGCCGCTCCCAGGGTACTCTGCTAGGAATTTAAATTTCTCATCCCATAATGGATCTGGTCCTGCATCTGCGCCATTTAAAACCACACGAATAAGAATGATATTAATTTATAAAATTTTAGAGGTCGGAAAGAAAAAGGAGAGACTAACTTTTAGCAACTTTGCTCATGCGTTCTTGGCCCTTGTAGTTGATCTCAGCATAAGGGTCAATTGGTTCTGCGAAATGGGGAGAAAATGGAATAGGTTAAGAAGTAAGTAAGAGCATAGGCAGAGCATCAAAGCAAGTAGGAACCGCAGATTGGAGCTTACTATTAAGCGGATCATGGGCTTGAAGTCCTTTACCACTAATCAAATGGACCTCCAACATTCCCATCCCCATTGCTTTGCCTCTGTCTGTCAAGCTTGAAGATGAAGTTGAAGGAATACAAAGGTGCAGTGCGTTTATATAGATGACCCGCCACTGCTGCTGCTGCTACTGTCGCACACGCAGCTCCACGACAAAGGTGTCTGCCTGCCTTCTACTAACTTTTTAATTTAGATTTAAAATTTTATCTAATAAATATATTCTTTTTTTTTATCATACATGCATTTAAAAGGACAATACCCGATCAAATTTAATAAAGTATAATATTTGATTCTCTTTTAAAATAGAAAAGAAAAAAATATCACTTTAATTGTTATTCTTTTTTAGTATTATCTTAAACATGTGTATTAATTTTAAATTATTAAATGTATATTTTAATTCGAATTTCATGTTTTTAAAATCATAAATATTTGCAATTTATGCCTACATGATGTATGTCAATTATTATTAAATTAGGATCACTTTAATATTTTTAATTTATTTTAGGTTTGGATGTTTGTATATATTTTGATTTTATTTTTATATGTTTGTTTTTATTTTAGAATCAAATCTGATTCTTCTTGCACAAAATGTCAAAAGTCATTCATAAAATGTGACTTGACCAATAATTTATGACTGAAAATTACTATTTGACAAAAAAAAAAAAAAAAAAAAGCTTCACCTATATCAAATACTAACCCGAATATATTTAGTCAAATATAAAATTTAAATATTTATATCGATCAAAGTAAACCACGGAATATGATATAATAATGAATTAATTTCGTTTGGATTTTTGTCAAAAAAAAAAAAAAAAAAAAACAGTTTTATTGAGGCTAATTAAGAAAAGAGTAGACATGAAGAAAAATAATCCAACACTTTGCTTTGTTTGAATTTGTTAGGGGATAAAAGAGTATCTACCCACGTATTTGTGATTTTTTAATGGTCACGTCACTGTGTAGTCATATGTGCTCATTACCCGAGTAGAAACATAGCTTGTTAGAAATCAAGACCTCCACAATAATATGATATTGTCCACTTGGACTATAAGCTCTCATGTTTTTGCTTTTTGGTTTCTCCAATGAAGATGTATTTCTTATAAACTTGTATTAATTCTCTAAATTAGTTAATGCGGGACTTATTCCCAACGATCTTGAATTACAATTAAAAAAAAATGAAACTTTATTAAGTTTAATGGTGGTATCTTGGATTTTCATTGTATGTCAAACACAAACGTGTAACATAGCGATAGATCATTTATTTGAGTTTAAAGAAATGAAGATTACATAGCGCAATAATATTCTTTATACAGAGTGTCATACAGTTGGTGATGCACTGTTTTTTAATGGTAAAAAAAACGCCGTCTGTGGGGATCGAACCCACGACCACGTGGTTAAAAGCCACGCGCTCTACCACTGAGCTAAGACGGCCTTGATATGACAATTCATACTGAGAGTTATAAAAACAAAGTCTATTATTGGGTTGAGGGATGTTTTTGACCCAACGCTCTATTTTGACTTGATGGTGAGGTGGTTAAAAAAAAAATTATTTATCCATTATTTATAATTATTCATATAAAATTACAGATAAAATATATTTAAAGTTCACAAACAAACACAAACCAATCTATAATTAATAAAAAAATAATAATAAATTTAGTAAAAAAAATAAGCAAAAATGGTAACATATTAACATAGTTCAACATTGTCATAAAATTAAAGACAACGGACCCTTATTGATAGTTCGTTAAATAAAAAATATATAAAAATAGATCATGAAATTAAAAATACAATAAAAATTATTAGTTTAAAAATACTATATATAACAAAACTAATATATATATTATAAATATAACCTTAATGAAGTTAGAGGACCTAAACTATTAGAAAAAAATATATACATCATGCTGTAATAATATTGCAACAAATAATAATAAATACATTAGAATTTAGAATTACTCTAGTTTATAACCGTAAATCTAATTAAACTAATTTTTTTATCTAATTAGTGTCCTTTCCGGTGTTAAAAGAATTTTTATTTCAGGTGTTAAAAGAATTTTTAAAACAATTAATAATTTTTTCACTCATACTACATGTTGATCGAGAAGCTACAGAAAATATTAGAACGATCAAAATATTTTGGACAAACTTTTTGATAAAATTCAGTAATTATATTGGTTTACTTTCCATCCAGTCTGATGATAAAAGTGATAGATGGAAAGTAAAAAGGATTCTTAAAAAAAAAAGTTGGATTTCCAATTCTTATTTACACCCCTATTATTAAGGAGTACGCATCTAGCTTAAATCATAGATGTGTCGGAAACAATAAATTATGGTTCATTACATTAATTTTATTTATTTATTTATTTATTAAATCTGGTAAAAAAAAAACTTTTCTTTATTATTGGTCTATCATCACCGTTAGAAATATATTATTTATGGAATATATCTGAGATATTATATCTTAATATTCTTCCATTTATGATTAGATTTATAGTATATTTCATTTTATTCTAATATTTAATTATTTTATATTTTCCTCATTTGTACTCGCTTGTATCCTATTTAAAGGATATCAATATTAATGATAAGATAGACAATATTTTCATTGAAAGTTAAAAACTATTATATAATTTTTTTTTTTTTTTTTGTGATATTTATTGATATAGACTTCAAATTTTTGGTGATAATTATTTTTAACACATGAATAAAAAAGTTAATTTGCAATGTTGTCAGCAAGGATCAAACCCATACAACTACATGGTTAATGGTTAAAAGTGACATACTCAATATGAATTAAGCCATTCATTAAAAAATTTCATAAATAAATAGAAATGAACGTAATTTCAATAGTCATAATAGGAGTAAATAAAATTTTAGTCACTAAAAGATGGTAGAAATTCAATTCAAATAAATAAAAAATGTAATTGAAACTTCATTGATGAGAATCGTACTCATAACATAACATTTAGCCAAGTTATAATAAATATTATTTTATATATAAGAGAATTGTTACTCGTAATACCGTATATGGGATTCACGAATCCATGACCATATAGTTAAAGTAATATACTATAGAACTGAATTGTGGATTTTGTTAAGATTAATTAGAGAATTATTAAAAACATAGTTTTTTTTATTTTATTTAGGTTAATTCATAGTTTAGAATCTGAATAACATACCAAAAGAGGTAGAAATTCAAATTGGTAACAAGTTTGCATACATTTGGGGAATGGGTTCGAAGAAGGCAAGCCACGTAGTCTTCGCTTTGCTTCCATCCTCCCACTTGTTCTTCCTTAATTACCCCTATTTCACCATTAAATCAAACCAAATAAGCTTAACTTTACACACGCTCACATTCAAACACTAAACATGCTCTATTACCTGCCGCTTGAAGGACACTCCAACTTCAATTTCTCCCTTGAAGTAAAGTTTGTGTGCTATAACCTGGTACATTCTAGGCGGTAACTCCGACCATCCCTTTCTAACTCCTTCCACTAATAAATCCTTGACATCTATTCTGCAATAGTCATTTAGTTCCATCTTTCGTAAACTGTGAATGTGGTGGTGATAGTAATAGTAGTAGTTATGTAAGAGAAGATCAATGGTCTTACGAGACATCGCCAATGTAATCATCACCATCTATAACGTCATGGTCCATGACCTTGAATAAGATAAGGAAGTCACCGCCGCTCCCAGGGTACTCTGCTAGGAATTTAAACTTTTCATTCCATACTGGATCTGGTCCTGCATCTGCGACATTTAAAACCACACGAACAAAAATTATATTAGTTTATAAAATTTTAGAGGCCGGAAAGAAAAAGGAGAGACTAACTTTTAGCAACTTTGCTCATGCGTTCTTGGCCCTTGTAGTTGATCTCAACATAAGGGTCAATTGGTTCTGCGAAATGGGGAGAAAATGGAATAGGTTAATAAGTAAGTAAGAGCATAGGCAGAGCATGAAAGCAAGTAGGAACCGCAGATTGGAGCTTACTATTAAGCGGATCATGGGCTTGAAGTCCTTTACCACTAATCAAGTGGACCTCCAACATACCCATCGCCATCGCTTTGCCTCTGTCTGTCAAGCTTGAAGATGAAGTTGAAGGAATACAATGGTGCAGTGGCTTATATATATATATATTTAAAAGGATAATACCAGATCAAATTTAATAAAGTATATATAATATTCGATTCTCTCTTAAAATAAAAAAGAAAAAATATCACTTTCATTGTTATTCTTTTTTAATATTATCTTAAACATGTGTATTAATTTTAAATTATTAAATGTATGATTTAGTTCTAATATCATTTTACGCTTATGACTAATGATGTATGTCAATTTAATATTTTTAATTAATTTTCAGTTTTGATTTTATTTTTATATGTTTTATTTTTATTTAGAATCGGGTTCTTCCAACCACACAATGTCAAAATCGTTCATAAAACATGACTTGACCAAGAATTTATGACCGATAATTACTTGTGACAACAAAATTTAACCTATATCAACTATACTATTTCACAATGTTATATAAAATAAAATAAAAAAAAACTATTTAAAAAATTCATAGAATTAAAAGAATATATTCAGTCAAATATAAAATTTAAATATTCGTACGCACCAATGGAATAGAATATAATAATGAATTAATTTCATTTTTACAAGATATTTAAAAAAATAATAATACACTTCTTACTCTTTTAGATTTTATCTTCTAATTAAAAATCAAACTTCTACAATGATATAATTGAATTAAGCTTTCATGTTTTTACTTTTGATTTCTCCAATTAAGATGTATTCCTTGCTTACAAGCTTCGTATTAATAGAGATGTTTTTCTTATAAACTCAAGATCATTCCCTAAATAAACTAACGTGGGACTCACTCCCAAAAATCTTGAATTACAATTAAAAAAAAAAACGAAACTTTATTAAGTTTAATGTTGGTGTCTTGGATTTTCGTTTTGGGTGAAACCTGTAACTGAAGCATAAAAGAAATGAAGATTACATGGACCCGAAAACTCAATCTAACCTTCAAAAACAAAACACATCAATAAGAAGCATGCAAAATGGATATACCTGAGGTGGTACAGAAGAAGAAGGCATTGGGGATGGGGGAGAAAAACGGGGCATGAAGAACAACAATATTGATATTGAAAAATGCAAGAGCGCCGTCTGTGGGGATCGAACCCACGACCACGTGGTTAAAAGCCACGCGCTCTACCACTGAGCTAAGACGGCCTTATTGCTGTAAATCAAACAAAAAGGTATATATTCTAATAATAAGAAAACTTAAATTATAGAGTATTCTTGAATTTTGAATATGTTGTTTTGGGAACCATAGATTATGGTTTATTACATTAATATTTAACTGAATGAATTTAAGAAAGGCCACATCAACATAAATATGAGTGAGTAAAGACTAAAATCCAGTTCTCACACGACTCAAATACTAAAAGAATTCGAATTCCTTCATTTTTTTTTAATTTTTTTATTAAATTTAGTGAAACTAATTTTATTATTATTATTATTATTATTATTATTTTATATGTTTGAAAACTAAGTCCATGAATTTCTTTGTTATGAACATTTTATAAAAATGATATATATAATTTGGTTAAAAAATAGTTTTTATTTAATTTTACATAATTTTGTTAAGGATTCCCATGTTTCAATGAGATTAAAAAGAACTACATCATAGAAATTGTAAATATATAAATATAGTTTAAAAAAAACTAAAAACAAGAAATCAAATAAATCAAATTTTATCTTGTTGCTGAATTTAGAATATTCATTGAAATTCTCTATAAATAAATAAAATTGACACAACTTCAATTGTGGTAATAAAGTAATTAGACTTTTTATCACTAAATAAATAAATGTTAATTGAAACGTTGTTGGTGAGGATCAAACTCACATAATTATTTTATGGATCTATGAACCCAAAACCATATAATTAAAATCACATGTTTTACCATGGAATTAAGACGGGTTGATGTTATATTATAATATCTTAAAATTTGAATAACCAAGATGTTCATAAATCAAATTATTAAATACTTAGCTTCTTATTTTACTTAGTTTAGACTATTTTGATTACATTTTATTAATAAAAAAAACAAAACAAAACAAAGTACAATTTGGTTAGAGCAACAAGTTGGATTTGGTGAAGCCAAGCCACTTAGTTCCCACTTTGGTTCAGATTTTGAGCGTTTTTTGATCAATGACCTTCAAGGGTGAAGCTCACTCCAACTTTAATTTCACCATTGTACTTAAGGTTGGCTCCTACAACGCTGTACTTTTGAGGCCATATCTCCGACTTCCCATTTTCAACTCCAAAAGCTAATAAATCCTTGATATATATCCTGCCACAGTCATTTAGTTCCTCGTAAATCAGATCATTCAATTCGAATATGTTGGTGATAGGGTGATAGTCATAGCAATAATAATATGAGTGTTCTTATTACAAGGGTCTTACGTGGCTTGGCCAATGAAATCATCAGCAGAAAAAGTGTCTTTGTCCATGACTTTGAGGATGATCTTGTAATCACCACCGCTCCCAGGGTACTCTGCTTGGAATTTAAACTTCTCATTCCATACCGGACTTTCACTTGCATCTACGCCATTTAAAATCACCCAAATATGCTTCGTTTTAACCATAATGTGGTGTTTTCAAGAATTTTGAGGCCAAATTCTCCAAATAAAAACTGTTCTTCCAAATAATAAATGAAGTAATAATTGATGAGCTTGAAAAAAAAGAGAGACTAACTTTTAGCCACACTGCTCTTTTGTTCTTGGCCCTTATACTGAATCAGAACATAAGGGTCAATTCCACCTACAAAACGAGAGGAAGATGATTAGCTTAATAGCATAATCAAATTAGCTTAATCACAAAGCAAATCAAATGTAGAAAGATTTGAAGAAGACAGAGAAGAATGACAGGTGAGATTATTATTACCCAGGATATCTTTGCCTCGAAATCCTTTTCCATTTACCAAATTGACCTCCAATATTCCAATCGCCATAGCTTTGTTTCTCTCGCTCAAGCTTGGAGGATTATGAAGGTGCGGTGGGGTTATATAGATGAGCAGCCGCTGCCGAGTCGTCAACATCGATGACTCAACCAACCTCGCACACACGGGCCCACGTCAAAGAGCCAACATGGGATGCGTGGGGGCTTGGAACAAAGGAAGACGGTTTCAACTCTTGGCGGCATAATAATAATAATAATTATTATTATTAAAATTTTAAATTTTATTTACCGGTCTTCTAATAAATATTATATACATTTTTTTTTTCGTAATATATATCTTATGTATTTAAAAAGATAACGATCCAATCAAATTTAATAAAAGTATATTATTCGATTCTTGATTTAAAATGAAAAATGACAAATATTATTGTCTAATTTTTATTCTTTTTTAATATTATCTTAAATGAAATATATACTTTAGTTCTAAAATAATTTTCAAAAAATGATAATATTTTATCCAAGAATTAAAAGAATATATTTAACAAATATAAAGTTCAGATATTTGTACGAGTCAAAGTAAGCAGGCATGTGATATGATATATACGGAATTGATTTCATTTTGATTCTTGAGAGAGCTGCAAACACAATCTCGTTGTAAAGTTCTCTACATCTATTCTTTTTATAATCAAATCTGCCCCAAAAGAAGGATATTTGCATCTTTCAGATGCATTTCATTTATTATAATTCTTAAACTCAATCCCAACAAATATCTCGGATGAATTACTACTCCCATTCCCGCAAAAATAAATGAGAAATTTCACTAGGTGGAGGAGATGGGGACGGAAAAGGCTTCTCCATCTCCGCTCTCCCTAGTAGACATGGTAAACTTTCCATAAGAATACAATATATAGCTACGGTACCAATACATGCACAATTTTAGTGCTACACTCAACTCTAAAAAAACACTATATATTTTCAATTTTGTTAAACCAAATGTTTGAAATAAGCGTTTTAAAAGCTTATAATGCCTCATCTTAGTGGAATCAAATCTTATTCTAATCAAGCCAGAACACAAAAACACAAAAGGGATGGATGGGGGAACTGATTCTGGGGACAATTGAGCAAAAGGAAACTGTACAGTGTTTCAGTACACAATGAGTTGGTCATCCAAATACCATCTTTACCTTTCGGGTTCGGTCCAAATGTTAGCCGGTTCACCAGACGTTCTTTCGTCTCGGTTTCTATAGATTTAGTATTGAAGCAGATGGTCTAGGATAAGAAACAGCTTTGTTATTTGTGGTGTCACTGCCTTGACTGGATTTGTCTACGGGCTCGGTTATAGGGCCCCCCTTTGCTCCACTTGTTTCACTGGAATCCTGAAGTTGTTCCAATGCTTTCACCACTGAGTTCATGTTTGGTCTTAACTTGGGTTCGGTTGATATGCATTGAATCGCAAGTTTAGCTGCTTTCAGTGCTCCTGCAGTAGAATATTGGCCTTCGATGCGTGTATCCAGCATTTGGAGAACTCTTCTTTTGCTAGTGAGGTAAGGTTTGGCCCATTCCACAAGACTGTGTTCTCCCGATGGTCGGTTTTTGTCTATAGCTCGTTTCCCTGATAAGATTTCGAGAAGAACAACTCCAAAACTATACACGTCGCTCTTGGCAGTCAGATGACCTTCAAAACAAGAGAATGAATCCAGGCTTGGAAATTTAATAACTAGTAGTCATCTCACAGTCACACGTCATCATGTTTTTTAACATAACAGCACAAGTAGATAGACTTGTTGTAACAGCCCAAGGTCATTGCTATTAGATATTGCCCGTTTTGGCCCGTTACGTATCACTGTCAGTCTCACGATTTTAAAACATGTCTACTAGGAAGAGATCTCCACACCCTTATAAGGAATGTTTCATTCTCCTCCAACCGATATGGGATCTCACAATCCACCCCCCTTGGGGTCCCAACGTCCTCACTAGCACATCGTCTAGTATCTGGCTCTGATACCATTTGTAATAGCCCAAGGCCACCACTGACAGATATTGTCCGCTTTAGTCCATTACGTATCACAGTCAGCCTCACGATTATAAAACGCATCTACTCAAAAGACTGATTTTGAAGAAACAAGGCAAAATGAAAGATACCTGTGATCATATATTCAGGAGCTGCATAGCCATATGTTCCCATTACCCGAGTAGAAACATAGCTTCTATCACCGGTAGGCCCATCCTTAGCTAATCCAAAATCAGAGAGTTTTGCATTATAGTCCTGTCATTTCAAAGTTCATGAGATCAAACACAAATATTTCAGAAACATAGTTTCGAAAAGGTCGAATCGTTTCAGATACCGAATCGAGCAGAATATTCGAGCTTTTGAAGTCCCGATATATTACTTTCGCTTCCTCACTGTGTAGAAAAGCTAGACCTTTAGCAGCACCAAGGGCAACTTTCAATCGGAGGCTCCATGATAGAGGCTGAAAGTGAGCACTCCCTGATGCCCCAAACAAATAAAATGAGAATCTAAGTAAACAAGTAGGTATACAAGTAGAATAAGTGAATAGCTTACTCCTAAATAGATGATTTTCTAAGCTGCCCCGAGGCATAAATTCATAAACAAGAAGTCGATGTTCATCCTCTAAGCAAAATCCAATCAATCTCACAAGATTAGGATGATGCAGCTGTCCTAGGTAGTCAATTTCTGTCTGTAAATTCAGACATCCACAAATCAATCCTACATTACAGATGATTTAAGTATAAACCAAAAGCTATAATTTGGTTAGCAGATGAAGTGAACTAACCAGCCATTCTCTGTGACCCTGAAAGCCTTCCTGGTTGAGCCTTTTTACAGCAATGACCAACCCAGTTCCTGGCTTGGTAGCTGCAAAGGACTGCTCGTCAACCCACCCTTTAAAGACAGAACCAAACCCGCCCTCACCCAGGACACTGTCGGGGCGGAAGTTTCGGGTGGCAGTTTTAAGGTCATTGTAGGTGAAGTTTTTCAAGTTGGAGGACTGCAAGATCTCGCCCTCTGTTCGAGGAGTCCGAGGAGTGGAGACAGATGAGGACTTGCTGATTGAATTGCCCTTATCATTTCCATCTCTTGCAGACTTGAAGCTCAACCCTGTGCAGAAGCCATTATTCAAATCTCTAGTTAGATCTATAAATGATGCCCTCATCAAAGAACACACAATCAACCCAATGCCCACTTTAGTTTTCCATCAGAGAGACATGAAAAGAGAAAAATCCAAATCCGAATCAAACCATTTCAGGAAGTAACCAAATCAAAACCAGAGAGAACCCAGAAATAGAAAACAAAGAACAGCAGAAATTGGAAAACCTAAGTGAAGTAAAAGAAGGAAACAAAAGGATTCAAACCAATGTGAAGAGGGCTCTCGGCTTTAATCCTGGCACTAAGGCAGGACCCCATGAACAGTTAGCTCAAAAGAAGGCCTTCAACTGAGCGGCTGCAGAACAGGGAGAATGGGAATAGGGAAAAAGGGGGGATAGAGAGAAAATGGCGAAATGGGGAGGTAGCGGTAGGCTATCCCGTGAATGGGAAGTGGATTTGTCTTGCAAGTGTGAAAGGTAGAGGGGTTTCCATGACCAAGCTGTCAAGGAATCCCCAATTTGAATGTGTTGGACCAAAAAAGAAACAAATTCAGATGGGGAAAGGAAAGGAAGACAAAGTTTTGGGGCTTTGGGGAGCGGAATTGAAGTAAAATTTGGGAGTATCCGCGTGGTTTAGCTTTGGGTTATGGGGAAATAGCTTTATTATTGGTTCCCATTAAGAAAGGGGGCAAGGAGGCTAAGCTTAAAAGGGTTGACCTGGCTTTGGCCTACACTCACTGACAGTGTCAATCAACAAGTGGGGAGGGAGTTGCAAGTTGGAAGAAGTAGATTCAAAATGGCATTAACTCCCTGAAACTGAGAGCTATTGGGCGAGCTTTGAGTTATCCCTTTTCTCCCTATGGATTTTAGTACGGTTTGTAAGGAACAATATGCTCCTACAATCCTCAAATGGCTAGTTGGGTGAGTTTGTGGCTATCAATACACCGAAAGGATTATGCCCAAAAGAGTTGGCCTAGGCCCATTTGTCAACCTCACATGGGGTTAGCCAAAAGTCGATTAGGGTCGACCAATAGGCGTAAGTGGTCAACCCCTCAATATCTATTTGTCAATTCGGTTCATCCTTTTGAGAGTTTGACCTTGAACAATTTAGCTCCAATCCTTCAAGGGTCATCTTAGTTTGTTCATTCAAGCTGTAAGGTCGACCACGACTTTAACCAATCTCTCACGAGTCAACTGAGAAATCTTAGAGCTAGACCGATCTTAAAAAATGAGGAAGAAGGCCAAAAATTAGCTACTGTTTTGGCATTTGAGGCTCTTGGTGAGCTCGAAAATGAAGGATTGAATAATTATTTCTTTATTATAAAGTGTTGATAATCCACCAGATTCCCATAGAATTTTAATATACTCAAATATATACATATAAAATATAAATTCCCACTACATTCTAAAAGTACACCACCAATACATTTTTTTTTTTTAAGATCTAAGCTTTCTTATAAAATTTGATTCATATTTCTAATTTGACAGATATATTTTTGTTTCAATAATACAAATTTATTAATTTTTTAAAGTGAGTTTAATTAATAATATTTTTTTTAATGAGTCGAAAAAACAGTTACGCAAATTAAACTTTAATTTTAAATAACTATTTCAATTTTCACATGGGAATTTGTTTACATTAATTTCCTAACAATCAATAATTTGAAAATAATAATAATAATAATAGACGAGACCCCATTCAATCAATGCATGATATTAATTAATTATTGAGTCAATGAACTAATATGCTCGCAATTGTCAATTTTACCCTCCTAAAATAAAACGCTTCCAAAAGTGCGGCCAGTCCCTTAAAGACGAGAATTGATTATTCAGAATAATTAATTTTTATTTTTAAATATTATAAAACATGACTAATTGCTATTCATTTTTTTTATATATATAAAAAATTCAGCCGATAACATTGACCTGTTGACCTATTACCTGTCATGTGGGTTACAGCAGATAGTTTGTTCCAAATAAATAAATAATATACATAAGAAGACAGATTTGTTTTTTTTTTTCCCCTTCCCATCTATTTATTTAATAATAATTTTCATTTTATTTAATAAAGGAATTATAATTGTGTATTTAATTTTCACCACCGACGAGATTTATTCTTCTTAGTCAACCAATAGCTAAATTCAAGACATTGAAATAAACACAAAGTCAATTCAAGTATTATTTAATTTTTTTTAATATTTTAATTCAATCTAAATATCAGTTTATAGCTTCCTAATAATCAAGATTAAATTAATCATGAAGGGTTCCAGTAATATCTGTTGTCTAAACATTACTTTACCTGCACATGTTTCAATATATAAACTTAATAGTATGAACACAACAAAAAAAATACTATAAATTTGATTATATTCTTTAATTAGGCATAATTTTTATTATTTTATTATGGTATTAGTAGGTAAGTAGTTTTAGCTTTTCCTTTGATAGTCTTGACATTTCCAAAAGCGTTACATGATATTTTAGCTGACCATTGGTTGACTTTTAATATCTAAATAATAATTATTTTATTTTATTTTTTTGTTTAGTCAATTGTGGAAAATTGAACTCCCAACAGTATTTAGTTTGGTCATTTATGAATCTTTGACTTCATCAAGACACGATATTTGAGAAATTATACGATATTATTTGAAAATAAAGATCTTTTAAAAAAAATCTTGAAATTAGATCATAATCCAAATATATGAAGACTTGGGTTTCATTATTATTATTTTAGTTTTATGGCGTGCATTTTTTGTCTTTAATGATTAGAAGCTGAGTTTTTTTTTTTCTTTTTTTCTTTTTTGACTTTTGATTTAGAAAAAATTAATTGTTTTTAATTAATTTATATATGTTGCAACCCAACATTATACAGCTATGATTGGCTATACAAATGAGATCTAGCGATTCCAATGGCTTGTATGTTATGTTTCGACATGGCTATGTCTTGTGATCATCTGTGTTCTTGAATGTTGCTTTTAGCAGACTTGTACAAGGAGGTATTTTGTATTGGGGTTAATCCTTTCATCGGATCTCATATTGCTCAGCTAAGCTAGATGTTGTGTTTATGTTGTCGTCTTCGTATTTGGAAGCTAGCTTGGTCGAGGTCGTTTTGGATGAGTGGTGTCTCATACATTTCTTCAATTTGCGTTCCTATGTAACTACACATGCTCAAGATTCGACACCTGATGCTTCAGACATTCCTCTAGAATATGGTTACGTTACCTATCTCTCGCTTTGAAGAGTGAAAATGATCCCCACGGACCAACAAATGTCATTTTAGCATGTTTTGATTTAAAATGCATGTGAGTGACGACAAAGTATGCTGAAATGACATATGTTGATCTGTGAGGATAATTTTCATTCTTAGAAGCGAGAAGTAGGTAATGTAACCATGTCGTAAGAGAATGCCGAGGTCATTAGTTGTCGAATCCGTATTTCGAATCCTGGGCATGGGGCATTACATTCTCTCGAGAAATTAAATGATGTATACCAGACATTATAGGAAATTGAATATGCTTCATTTTATACTATAATATGGTGTAATATAATACAAAATGAAAGCTTCAAAAGTAGCATGGAAAAAAGGAAGCAGATATCCATAAATGGAATAAACTGCATGCTCTAAAACACATTTCATCCAGATTTACATGCAATATTTCACATGTTGAACCAAACAAACTAAACAAAAACCAAAAAATGCAGAGAATAATGATAATGTTTCTGCATTTTCATGATGGTGAACGATGATCCTACTCCTTTGCCACCTCCATCGCTCATTCCAAGTCCTGAAGTTCCTCCAAATCCGTCACTACTTCATACATCGAAGGCCTGTGTTTGGGGTCTTCCGACAGGCATTTAAACGCAAGCTTAGCTACTCTAAGTGCCTTCTTTACCTCACACTGCCCCTCTATTCTACCATCCATAATCCTCGATACTCGTCTGTGGTTAACACAAGGCCTTGCCCAATCTACCAAGTTTTGTTCTTTCGGAGGCTTCGTCGAGTCCAACGCTCCTCTACCGCATAAAATCTCAAGTAGAACCGCTCCAAAACTATATACGTCGCTCTTCGGCATCAAATGACCTAATATTCCAAAGCCAAACTCAAAGTTTAGAAAACTATACCAAATTATATAATTGAAAGTTCGAAAATCTATTATATACCCGTAGACATGTATTCTGGCGCTGCATAGCCATAGGTACCCATGCATCGTGTCGAAACGTGGCTTTGGTTGCCTATTGGTCCGTCCTTGGCTAATCCAAAGTCTGAGATTTTCGCGTCGTAGTTCTGTGGATTAAAGTGTTAGTAGAGAACAACAAAGTTATTGATGTATTGTGTGTATATATATGTTTATACCGCATCAAGCAAGATGTTTGAGGATTTGAAGTCACGATGGATGACTTTTTTGCTATGCAAATATGCCAAACCCCTAGCAGCATCAAGAGCAATTTTCATACGTAGCTTCCATGAAAGAGGTTGAGACCAAGATCCTCCTGAAAATTTTTAATTTTTCCAATTTTCCCATTTAGATTTATGAAGCTAAACTCAAAATCAAGAAGAATTTAGAAGCTAGAGGACTCACTCCCAAAAAGATGATTGTCCAAGCTGCCACGCGACATGAACTCATAAGCAAGAAGCTGGTCGTCATTCTCCAAGCAATATCCGACAAGCTTCACAAGATTTGGATGATGCAATTGTCCCAAATAGTTGATTTCCGCCTATAATGAATTCCCACAACACTTGTTAAAAAATCAAAACCATATCTAAGTTTTGTATTAATGAGATACTGACCAACCATTCACTGTGGCCTTGCATGCCATCTTGATTGTGTCTTTTGACAGCAATAGCTATGCCAGTGCCGGACTTGGTGGCGGTGAGTGAGTGGTCATCGATCCAGCCTTTAAACACACTCCCAAAACCTCCCTCTCCCACCATGCTCCTTTGACGGAAATTCCCAGTGGCCTTTTTCAGCTCATTAAAGCAAAACCTCTTCAGATTTGAAGACTGCAAAATCTCATCCTCCGTTCTTGGACTTGGATGAACCGACGCCGACGAACTCGAACCGTTCGATTCATTGCTTCCATTTTTCTCATAATCACTCGAATCCTTCCCTATTATATACACAAATCCCCAACAGCCAAATTACTCCATATATCCCACACGGCTCATCAAAATGATTCCTTTACAATGAAATTCACTCAAGTATTGAAATTTTTAAACACCCTTTTGAGATTAGGCATTAATTTCATGAATTTCAACCAAAACACACAAAATCACACAAAAAAAAAAAAAAAAAAAAAAAAAAAAAAAAAAAAAAAAAAAAAAAAAAAAAACAGCAGCAAAGAACAAAAGAAGAGCATACCATGATAAGGGCTTCCATTTTCCATGGCAAGACTAACACAAGATCCCATCTTGTTGGTTTGTTTATGAAAGATGAAGAAGAGAAAGTGAAGAGCTCATAAACCCAATAACTAAGGAGGAGAAATATATATAAGACTGAGGGTGAGGGTCTGCAAAAGGGAAGAAACAAAACAGTGGGGAAAACGGGGTTGACTTGCTGAGTCGGCCGCCAGATCATACGTTATATTCAATGTGCAAAAAATCACAGGCGTGTGTTCAAAATCCTACGCATACAAACCACAATCAAATGGCAACTACTCGGCACAATCATACGTCACATCTAAGTTCGCACAATCGCCACGTGGGTCGGTAACAAAAATTCCCTCCACCTAAGCTTCAATAATATAAAGTGGGCATTTAATTCATTAAAGCAATAGCTACTTTTTTTAAAAAAAAAAATTAAATTTTATTTAGGTGGGTTCCATGAAAGTATGAGGAAGAAGAGCAGTATGAATAAGGTTATTTCGCTATTTTTTATTTATTTATTTATTTATGTAGCTTTCGGTGTAATCTAATACATAGGATATGCTTCATGATTTCATAATCGAATAAATTTTGTATGGGTGATATTACACCTAATTATCCGTGGACTTATAATATGGTAAATATTATCCATTTTATTTTCATTATTTTCTCTCAAATTTTTTACCTTTTTACTTTTTTTATTTTTTTATTTTTTAATTTTTTACTTTTTTATTTTTTTGTGTGAAAGTGGAACTTATGATGGATGTCTAACTAAAGTGTAAATCCCATTTGGGATAATGCTTTCCCTTTTCTGATTTGCCAATCCCCATCATTCCAACTTAGATTTTATCATTTTTTAATTTCCACAAAAAATTTAAAATTAATTTAGCCCTCTATTTAATTTGTTTATTGCAAAAGTTTTTGAAAATTGGAAGAAAAAAACACTTTTGAGTTATATTTATACCGCCAAAAATACTCTTAATTCTAATTAATTCTAATTTTTATTGTAATTAAATATATTTTATTTAGTTAGGTACGATTTTAAAAATATATCCATTCGGGAAATTGAAATATGTTATAATTATTATAATTATTAGGGGGAGAAAATATGTGTGGGAAAAAGAGGAAGAAATTTTTGTCAAAGAAAATTAGTTTGAAAAAGTGCAGATACCTATACAGTAATTAGGAAATTAAATGTGTTATATGATTAATATGGGAGATCAAATATCAACTCTCTTTTTAAGAAAAAAAAAACACTAATAAATAAAACTTCTTTCTTTCCCATTTTAGTCCATTCCTTTTTTTTTTTTTTTAATTTTGTTTCTTTTATTATAATTTTTTAAACGTAAAAATATAATATCATTAATGTTATTTAAGACGGACAACCAGTTCTATAAATCATAAGTCTCTCTCATTATTTGATTTTTTTTGTTGTCGTCTTCTAACATTTCCGACTTTTAAATATCGAATTTTTTAAAACCACTAAAGTGGTTAGAACAATATTTTTATTTCTCTAACTACAATACAATTCATAAGCGACAGCAAAATCGTGGCCTTAAAGAATAATGATTTTATTACTCCTTTGTTTTTCGCTTCAAGTTTTTTAGAAATAAGTGAGAAAAGTGTAAAATTATAAAGGAAAAAAATACGATTTAATTAAATTTTTGTTGACTTTACAACAATATTATCCTAAAAATTCATATGGTTGGATATAATATGGTCATCAAACATATTTGCATTGAATTCAAGACTATAATCTTTTTTTTTTAATTTTATTTAATGTAATTAGGTCATAAACCACCATAGCCTAAGTCTCGATTAACGTAGTTAGGCGAATCAAGATTGACTTTAATTTTATTTTCAAAAATACATTTTGTTTTAAGCATTTTCTTATAAAAACAAAATACAGTATCTTTAATTATATTTTATTTTTAAAAAAAATTATGTATATATTTGTAAATTATTACTAATATTAAACACCATTATCGTTGAAGTGATTATCGGAATAGGGATGCCATTGACGATGATTATCGACAATGAGTGATGATATTTTAGAGATTTTTGTACGCTTAAAAACATTTTATAAAATAATTAGAAAAATATGAGTTATTTGATATTATTATTATTACTAATATCTCAGTTTTGAATGTTAAAAAAAGGGTAAGTATGTGATGATCATCATTAATTTACACAACCTCTGTTACTTTTCATGTTTTTCAAACACATATTCATGAAGTCATACCAAAATTAAGTAAATTATATGCAGATCGGATTTGGTGAAATCTTTTATTATTATAGATTAGGTCAGATAATCTTGGAACTTTGAACTTTCAACGATCTTAATTCCACCTATACCCAACTTTTCTCAATTTTATGGCTAATAAAAACCATAATTAACAAAAAAAATATAATATAATGTCTCGTGTCTTAGATTTAGAATTTGGATTCGGCCTCTGGTAGCTCTGGTATTTACCTGCTATATAGCCACGTTACTTACTTCACGTAAAATTGTTCAAACAAAACACGCTTAATTTTTGAGTTTTTATGATTGAGACGGGAAAGTGTACATTGTTGTTATGGATAATATTTTTCAAAATTATAAGCCTTGATCTCATTCGTATATGGTCTCGATTCATCCATGTACCCCTCATTTTTCTTGAGTGTCACATACCCACTAGCTTTCACCTTGGTTTGTCCACGAACCACATTTTACTGAAAAATATATCAATTTAATACCATTTGTAACAACCTTACCCCACTTAACCACATCTTCCTCTATTTTTTTTTTGTATATATATATTTAATTAATTTCAATATGATTTTGAAAGAAGAAATTGATTTAGGTGCCATTTGAGACAAATTTGATAAAGCTATGAAAGTTTAATTTATATAGTGAAGTTGGTGTTAAACTCAATATCATTATTATTTAATAAGAGTTAGATCTTAAATTAAAGTTATACTTTGTGGGAGGCAATATAATTCCAATCTATCTTTATTATTATTATTTTTTAAGGTAGTTGACCAATTATTTTCCACATTCGTGGCCACCAGCTCAATCGATTTTGACAACTTGAAAAAACAAGATCATCGTATCTTCAATTTTATGCATGGAAATAGCTTCCATAAAATCATTTACAAAGCTTTTAAATTGAAAATATTAATCATTTTCCCCAAATCAAAATTATAGAACATATTTAGAACAAACCAATTTATAATATATTATGGGTAAAGTGTTTTTTTTTATATGGTTTGCGTGCAATCTTGTGTAACACCCTATGTACCTTAAATACTTATTTTATAGTTTGTTATTGAAAAATTGGGTTCCCTTGGTCGGCGACCATTAGCTCAATTTTCAATTCTTCTATAAACTATTTTTAAAGGGATAAGGGGAACATGCCTAACACATAACCTAATATATCTTAGACTTCACACCCTCCAACCTTTTATCTTCTCCATTGTCTTCTAATTTTTTTTTTTTTAATATTAAACTTATCGTTTCATCCGATTAATAATTGAATATTATATCGTAGTCGGTACACAAAACAAATTAAAAAATACAATGTGGAATAAAAGTTGGGTCAACATATAAGGATCGAGCATGAGACAATGGATTACAGAAGAATTTGGGTCGAACCCCAACTCAACTCCTTGCCTCTCAAGAGAGCACGAGCTATTTATATCTCGACTTGTGACATGGTGGTCAGTTTAGTCTAACTATTAAGGCTAACAAAAGAAAAAGAAGAAAATAATAATAATAATAATAATAATGAAAGATGGGCTTGGTTGGGGCAAGTGAAGCCGTGACCCAAGTGAATCTGAATCCAGGCTCAGTTGGGCTCTTTGGAAACACTGTGTATGAAAAAGCCCAAGCCCACTCCAAACACGGGTAGATCCGAAACAAATGACGAGGAGAGGAATATTTGTTTACGTCACCTGTGGGTGTGTTAATTTTAGTGAAAGCACAATCCTATAGGCTAACAGGCTCCATTCAAACCCTTCTAATTATTAGGTGGACAGGAGTTTACATCAGGAACACAAAAAGAAGAAACACTTTCCCATATTCTTGGGATGACAAACTGCTTTTTCCCGTAACTCCATAATTCTAACTGCCAGCCTATGAAAATTCCACGTCAGCATACTAATTTTGCTTTCCAAAATTATTTTTAGTTTAAAAATATTTTCATCCACAACCCACCAAATATTATAGAATAAAAAAATAAAAAAAATTAATGTAAGAGATTAATTTGAAATTTAAAAATCATAAAAAATGTTAAAATAAAAAATAGAATATCAATTTCAATAATCTATAAAAGAATTACTAAAGTTTTTGAATGGGAAGAAAAAGGTTGAAATGTTTTTTTTTATTTTATTTTTGAATCAATAAATTAGAAAGGCACATGGGGTACATGCAAAGAGAATAATCATTTTTTATTAGTTTTAAAAGGTCAGAAAAGGGAATTATTTTCTCCCTATTTACAAAATGAATTAAAATTAAAATGCTGACAACTAGACATAAATAAAATATCATGCAAATTTTTATTTTTTAACATTTTTTTTCTTGTGGGGTCAGATTCCTTATGTACCCATATATATATTAACTTCGTGTGCAATAATTAGATTCTCGCATACAAAAAGAAAGGGGTTTAAATTGGTTTTTTAAAATAATATGACATAAAATCATTATTAATTACCTTTAAAAATTAGTATTAATGGGTAAAAAAAATGTATGTAGCTTGAATAAACTAAGATTAAAATGATGGACTCGAAAAAGAAAATAATAATAATAATAAATATCCCAGAAAAATATGGAAATTACAGAGCCACAAATTTAATATCGTTGTTTGGTCCTTTTATTGAAAAAGAAATGAACGGTGGTCCCAAATTTGAGGGGATAAAACACCACGTGTCACCGCTCCTGAATTGATTGATGACCTGTAGGCTTCAGCGGCTGCGCTCCTCCCTCGCCTTTCTCAATATTAAATTCATAAAAAGTTAATACGAATCATGTGCTTTGCGTGTTTATCTTATTTATTTTCTGAACTGTACTTTTTCTTTTCCCATTACTTTAACCACATATATATATATATATA